GTTTACGAATCGCTAACATAAAAGCGGATAATTTGACACGAAAAGTTCGTAGAGTCTCGCATCATAACATTCCATATGAATGATTCTTTTGAGCTTTATTTAGTTTTGGATAACAAAAAAAAAAAGCATATGAGTGTTTACATGCGTAACTGAAAGCGTGCAGATAAATTGGACGTATGTGGTAATGATGTCATGGTATGATGTGTCGACATTTTTCTTGTAACAATTGATGAATAACTTTACTTTTTTTTGGTAACGCATCATTAAAAATGCGTTGTTATGTGTTATGTAAAATTCATTTTTACGATGATATCATAAAATATATTGGGTTGGAATTTTACAAAATCCGGAAAATATACAGTTAAATCGAAATATTATACCACAAGGTTAGAAAAGTTGGAGACCAATTTATTTTTGATTGGCCAAGACAAACTGCTAAAAACACATTCTTGGCAAGTACAATGTCCACCTAAGATACGTCATTTCTTGTGGCAAATCTTTACAGGTTGTGTACCAGTTACAGAAAATTTGCAGAGAAGAAGAATTGATTGTGCACAGGCTGTGTCAGGTGTGGCGAACCAGTGGAAACAATCAATCATACACTCTTTCAGTGCCACCCAACACGACAGGTTTGAGCACTTTCCCAGATGGAAAATTTTTCAACGGTGTCTATTTTTGCGAATTCGGATCACTTATTTTGGAGAATACCTTCGGAATTTCATTCTTTAGCCTTTCCATGGATTATCTGGTATATTTAGAAAGCAAAAAATGAAAAAATCTTTGAAAATATTGATAAAGATCCGTTAGAAGTATTACAGTTAGCGGAAAAAGAAGCACAATTGTGGCAGTCAGCCCAAATCGAGCTTCAACATGAAACTAATGGCACTGTAGAATTGGTATCTCGTTCTCGAGTGGGGGATGCTTCACTTGATTCGAATTATTCTAGATGTCGTTGCTTCGTGGATGGATTGTGGAAAGACAATGATAAGTTCTCCGGTACAGGATCGTTCTGTACATCATCAAACGGAGAATCGCCAACCATGGGAGGTGCCAACCTCCATAGAACTCTATCTCCATTACATACAGAATTCGAGGCTCTTTTCTAGGTGAGGAGTGTATGATTGGTGCAGATAATCAAGAGATAGCGTTCCTAACAGACTGTTCTGATATGGTGAAGATGGTGTCTTCTCCAACTGAATGGCCGGCGTTTTCAGTGTACTTGGAGAAATTCCAAAGCGACAAGGAAGAATTTTCATCCTTCTCTTTATCTTTAATTTCTCGTAATGCTAATATAAAAGCGGATAATCTGGCACGAAAAATTCGTACAGAACCGTTTCATATCATATATGTAAACAACATTCCTTAGGAATAGATCTTTTAAACTCCAATTAATTTTGGATGACAAAAAAAAATCATAAAATTACTTCTAACAGTTTTTTGCCACTACATAGTTCTACTTGTTTAGATACTATTTTCAAAACTAGGGGGAAATCCGGGATACGTCCGGTATATTTGTAAATTTTGACAACTTTTAAAATAATTTAATTGTTTTTCTTGGGAAATTTCTATGCATAAATTTTAATATTTTGTTTGAAGCCTATTTGAAATAATTAATTTGAGATTTATAGTTTTTGTTTTTTGAGTTTACGTTAATTATTAACTAAATAAATAGGAATGTAATTGAAGAAGGCTATAGTAACCTTAAAAAAACTTTGGAATTTCTTACATTTTATATAAAATAAAATTCACTCATTGCATTAGAGGTTTTTTCCTTCTAAAAATTGATTATATATATATATATATATATATATATATATATATATATATATATATATATATATAGTGTGGATAAGTTTGGGTGATTATTTGGGATGATGGGTAATAAAGCTATTAAACTTAATTGGTGTATAATTTATTATTGGTTTGGTAATTTATATACTGTTTAAAATATCATTTGTTATAATAAGTTTGGTAGCATATTTGTTTTTTTTTGCCTATGGTAATTATTCTCTAATTAAACTGTTTTTGGTCCTTTTTAAAATTAAAAGTTACTATGAAAAGTATATTATATTTGCTGTAATTTAATTTAGGTTTCTTTAATAATAAAATTTATGTGGGGTTTGAAATATTTTAATTTGTATTATTATTTGATGGGTTATATTCTTTTGTTGTTGGTTGAAGTTATATGTTGGTATTGATTTGGTTTGGGACACTGTTTTTTTTCCAATTACGAAAGTTTGCGATTAGGATTTTCGATTGGTTGGCTCATTATTCATTTTTATAGTGGTTTAAGATTAGAGAGATGGGTCTAAAATGTTCATGGTTTTTTTATTTCATTGGTGCATATTTGAAAAATATTGAAGTTTTTGGATGCATGATTTGAAAGAAAATGTAGGCGTTAAAAAAAGATTTTATTGATTGGTATTTGTTCTTATGAAGCTAAATATTTGTTGTCCTTCATATTGGACAATTTGTCTTTGCATATAACCAAGTGACTATACATTCATGGTGGTAGATGTGGTTACATGCTAGGTTGTTGATATCATCACGTCTTTTGATTGTTTCTAGATAAATGACGCAGTCTTCGTTTTCCTCCGATGTTGTTGGGACTCTTTTGGCAGTTTCTAGATGGACAATGAGTACGTCGGTGAATTTGTAATCTGTAACCTTGAAATATATAATAATGGCCTTACCGCTTTCACTTTCTCGGTGAAGCAGATTCCATGTTTGTGGTCGGAGACTTTGTAGATTCTTTTGGACGGGGTGATCATAAACTTTTTTAGCTTGTAAACAGAGTTCCGCTTGAGATCCTCTTGGTAGCGGAATAGCCGGTTTGCAGATATGAATCCTTGCAGTGCGTTTGACTAGATCTTTTGGACGAGGTGATCATAAACTTTTTTAGCTTGTAAACGGAGTTCCGCTTGAGATCCTCTTGGTAGCGGAATAGCCGGTTTGCAGATATGAATCCTTGCAGTGCTTTTGACTGTAGGCTGAATGATTAGTTTGGATTCAAGTTGGATTTGTAAATCTATTGAGAATATTAAAGACATATATGGGAGTCTATGACAAGCAGTTCTAGACCCATCAATATGTTGTCTCTCTTGAAATTCCCGGCCTCCCTGAAACGAATTAGTCAGACTAACACTTCTTCGTCACAGAAATCTCCATCAATCTCATTGAAAATCTGAAAGGTGAATGGTTAGGGAGACTGTTATGCTTTTTTTTGGTGCCATGTTTTGATTGTAGTGATTGTTTGGTTTTTTTTTTTTTCTCTTTGTAGTCGGAGAGCTGAGATTTTATAGGAGGATTCTCATAAGAGGCTATGATTTTGAAGATAGTGGTCATTAATTTTGTTTGATGTGAATAAATGGGGAGTGAAGATGAGAAAGTGGGGTATTGATTACGGTGGCGAACTGGCGCTGGGAAGCTGAATCGATATAGGTTGTGAGAATGGAGACGATGGCTGGATGGTGAGGGTGAGGACGAGGGGTTTGTGGGTTTTTTTTTTTTTTTAACTTTGGGCTATTTAGGTTTTGAGATGGGCTAATTAATACTCCCTCCATTTCATAATATAGGTCGTTTTAGGTTTAAACACGCCGATTAAAAAGATCTATTTTTTAATAGTTCAACCAATCATAAAAGAGACTACTTAATATAAATAATTATAAAATATTAAAATAATATATTGCATTGAAACTCGAAAACAACTTATATTATAAAACAAAAAACTTTATTCAAAACGCCTTATTATGAAACGGAGGAAATATTAGGTGTTAATGTGTGTTTTGTATGGTGGGCTTCAATTAGAGCTAATGGGTTTATCGTGGGAGAAGTTTTTTTTCTTTCCCTATGCTTACGTGGCAAATTGAGAGGGTATAGGAAAAATAGCTGATGTGGATAGTCTAAGAGGCCTTAATTAGTTCCTTTTAATAGTAGTTTATGCCTCATTTTTATCCATTTTTATTTTTGCTCTGTTTAAATTTTTAATAATTATTTTACCCTTATTTTAAAAAATTTAAATCAACAAAATGAAAACAGAAAATTTCCTGCCAAAAAGTTTTCTGTCACAAAATTTTTCCCGCTACAAAAATGATCCCGTAATTGTTGGCAAAAACATGATACCAAATTTTTTGTGAAAAATAGATTTACAAGAGTTTTTAAAAGGTCTTAAAAAGATTTATAAGAGGTTTTAAAATGTTAAGAAGATTTACAAGTGTTTTGAACTATTTGTAAGGATTTTAAAAGGATTTACAAGGGTTTTAAAATAATTTTATAAGGGCTTTTAAGAGATTTACAAGAGGTTTTAAAGGATTTACAAGTGTTTTAAAAAGATTTTATAATGGTTTTAAGAAGATTTACAAGAATTTTTGAAGGATTCTATAAGGTTATTATATAAAGGATTTACAAGGGTTTTTTTAATGATTTACAATATTTTTTAAAGTTTTAAAAGGATTACAAAAGGTTTTTAGGAGTTTTAAAAGGATTTACAAAGATTTAAAAAAAAATCAAAGGGTTTCTAAAGGATTTAAAAGAGGTTTTAAGTGATTTACAAGAGTTTTTAAAAGATTTTATAAGATTTTTTAAAATATTTATAAGGGATTTTTAAGGAATTGAGAGAAACTTTTGGCGGAAAAATTTGCATGTTGCCGAAACTTTTTTGGCAATTTCACCTTCTCATTAGCTGATGTCATTAAAAGAACGGTAATTTAGTTGTTTTGTGATACAAGAATCGGTGGTGAGACTTGTATCGGGATAGAGATGGTGGCTTCACAAGCTGGCGGTCGCTTCTCTCTTGTGAAGGAAAGATGGTTGAAGGTGGAAATCTGACACGATGGCGGTGGCTTCTCTCGTGTGGGATCAATTCAAGGGGAAATGATGGATAAAGGGGTGATTGACTCGCTCAATCGGTGGTCGAACTAGATTGTTTGAATCACTCAAACAAGCTGATCCGAGGCTTCAAGAGAATAGAAGTGAATCGCTCACTTAAACTCTAATGAATAAAAACACACAAAGACTCAAACTTTGTGAAGAAGAACAAACTTTCTATTAACTTTCAATATTCAATGTTGTTTTACAATGAACGAAATAATGAGCTTATATAGGCTCATGTACAATATTCTACTACTCTAAAACAAGAAATAAATCACAGCATTAAAGAGATATGGCCGTTGGACATTAATTGTAGAATATGTCCAAATAAGGCAAGTGAGGTTTGCCTTGTATCTTGTCAACTTGGGGAGGAAGTTGTGACGGCTTGGAAGCTTCTGGAGGGTCTCAAGATTCTCACACAAGCGCACAAACAAAGAAGGAAAGAGTTGTTGCAAGTTGATCTCCTTCGGCTCCATGTATGGAAAGTAGTAACTCCCCGGGTTCTTGTGTGGTAAGGTGTACCAAAGTTCTTGTGGTACGTGTCTTATGTGGCCTAGAAGTTCTCCTGGTTTCCATATGTAGCTTTGAGGTGCGTCCAAGTGTAGAATAAGGGAGATTTCCTTGTTTGGCTTCATTTGGCGCAGTACTTCAGAGGGTAGTTCAGCAAGTAGTTCAGCAAGTAGTTCAGCGAGTAGTTCAGTCGGTCTGTCAGCAAGTACATAAGCTATATGTACTTGTAACATCTTTGAATCAATTGCTTGGTAAATGATTCCTTGATGACTTGATGTTGCCTCGTTAAAAACCTTTCTAGGTAAACCCATTGGGACAAACCCTAGATAAGGGAAAAAGAGTGCAATGGTCAAATTCCCACAACATGGTGATTCGGCTCGCTGGTCTGTGATTCCTCTTGAACCATCATTAGTCTTCTTAGGATTAATTTGCTGGTGAATAATTAACCCTAAGCCTTGTGCTTGATTAGGACTCCATTTGGGTAAGAATTCTTTAAAATGCTCCATATCAACCGGTTTGATAGATGGACCGGCTTGTTTGGTATAATCCCGGTTTGGTTTGATTTGGATGTCCGCATCATACCATCTCCCTTGAAAAAGTTTCGACCTCGAAACTGTACAATCTGCACCAAGAGAAAGCAAGTTAGCTTTCATTCGACTTTGGGAGGCTAGGGTCGTACCTTGGTAGGGTGGCGGTTTGATGATGCATGGTACTTCAGGTGGCTCTCCTTTGAGCAAGAAAGATAGGATCACTCCTCCGTTTTGATCCAGTGCTTTGAGTTGTCGTGTTACTTGCTTAACTCCTTCTCGGGTTTGGGCTTCAACTTTAAAATCCGGTGGTTCCTCTTTGATTAAGCAAGAGTTTGAGACTCTTCTAGTCTCCATGATAGATGGTGTTAGCATCAATGGTGCTGGTTCACTCTGGTTTTGAATTTGGTTGGCGACTTTCCTCACTTCCGGTGAATCATCTTTATGTTCCGTGTGTTCTTTGTTGGTACCTGCAAGTTCATCAACACTTTGGGCAAGAAACAAGTGCATTACAACAGTCATGAGATCAATATAAACAGGTAAAACAATTTTGGTTTGAACCATTTCTTTTCCACAAAATGTAACACAAAGTGATTCACAAACTATGTCACAAAGTAGATCAGCTACTTGATATGTCCTAAGACAAGAAATTAGTTCCATAGATTTATTTAAAAGATCTACTATTTTCTCACACTCTTTAAGGATTAACAAGTTTATTATCATATCACTCGAATTGCTAGAAACAATTAGAAGTAATAGTTTACTTACCTGACTTAGATCCTCAGTGAGTGTATCTTTCGAAATCAACTCGGTTTGTTGATTTGATGGCTGGTCCGGTGGTTCTTCTTGTAGGAGAATGTTGTTGGTAACAATTTCATTCTCCTTAGTGACATATTTTCATATCAAAACCTCTAGATATTGTTGCAGAACATCATTCGTTGTTGATCCCTCTTTTGGATCCACATGTGTCTCTTTATTACCTACATGTGTCTCAATACTTTTGGCACAAGACAAGTGTATTAAAACAGTCAAGGGACGTTCATAAACATAATGAAATAAGTTACTCTGAACCTTTTCATGTGTTAGACCAGAATCAACTTCTTGTTTGCTTTGATCCGAGAGTAACCATAACATTGTTGTGGCTTCTCTTTGATCTTCGCAAATCTTCATGGTACCTGTACTTTCACTGGCACTCAAAGACAAGATCAAGTGAATTATACTTGAAATTGAAATGATATGGATAGGGTTCTTAAAACTTCTTTCGAATATAAGATAATGCCAATATCGAACAAGATAGTAAGTTTCGCTTACTTGTGTACCATGTAAGGTGTTCGGTATCAATTCAGCCTTGATGTGGATGATCTTAGAAGAAAGATCAGCTGGTGTTGAACAAGGCTGTATCATCACACGTCCTTTGAGGGCTACTTGATCATACGTCTTATTTCGGCAAACTTGTGATGATGTTGTTGTTTCCGAAAGTTGTTCTTCAAAACTTATGTCATTCTCAATTTCCTTTAGAGTTGCTGCCTTATGTCTACTTCTTGAGATATGTCATCCATGCTATGACATAGACCTGCATCAATAACCTTTGGCAAAGACAAGCGCATTAATCTAGAATTGGAAATATCTAAACTTGAATTCACTAGACAATCATTTGAGTTAGATGCATTCACTTTCAACTCTAGTGATGTGACATCCTCTACTTGTCTCTTAGAGCAAGTTGCGGCAAAATGTCCTCTTTTAGGACACCTATAACATATTATTTCTTTAGACTTAGAAAGGTTAGAAGACTTACCTTGCTTTAGTTCAGTGTGTGGTTCAACATGTGGTTCAGCGTGTGGTTCAACGTGTGGTTCAAGCAACGAAATTGTACTCAACTTCTTTTTCTTTACTTGAGATGTTGACTTAGACTCAGTCTTCTCCTTTAGAGCAGGTGTGGGCTCTTTCTTTGGCTTAGGGATGAAAGCTCTCTTAGGTGTACCATAGGGACAGGTAAAGGTAATTTTCTCTTGATCATCGGGAGGAATCGGGATTTGAAAGAATCCCGAGTACCCGTCAAGAAAGCAATAATATAGATGGTTTGGCAGTCTTTCATGCATTTGGTCAATGAAGGGTAGTGGGAAATGGTCCTTACGGGTTGCAGAGTTAAGTTTTCGGCAATCAATGCAGATTCGGTGTCCTGTGACAGTTCTTGTTGGAATTAATTCATTTTTTTCATTTTTAATCACATAACACCACTTTTCTTAGGCACAACATGGATCAGACTCACTCAAGTACTATCAGAGATAGGATAGATGATACCCGCATCTAGAAGTTTCATTTTCTCTTTCTTTTCAACATCTCAAAGATTCGGGTTTAACCGTCTCTGATGTTATACAGAAATCATTGATTCGTCTTCTAGATGTATCATGTGCATACATAAAATAGGAGAGATACCTGTGATATCATCAAGAGAGTAGCCCAAGGCTTTTCTGTACTTTCTCAACTCACATAGTAACAGGGCACTCTCCACATTGTTCAGCTCAACATTAATTATCACAGGGTAGGTGAAGTTAGGACCAAGAAACGCGTACCTTAGCCCAACATGAAGTGGTTTGAGTTCAATCTTTGGAGCTTTCAACTCGCTCTAAACATCGTAGTCCTCTGTTGTAGAAATAACCATAGCTCTCTCTACCTCATTCCCTGTAAACTCTGCAACTGCTACCACTTTTGTCAAACATTCTAGCAAACCCGGTAGTCGCGTCTCCCGGGTACCCAAACTCACTCTCTTCCTTAATCAAGACATTCTAAAGAGGATCTTCTGTGTTCAACTCTTCTAGGAGCTCATCAGCTAGCTCATCCATGATATCTACCCAAAATATCTGACCCTCATTGGTGGGTTTAGACATCACTCTCTCCACGTTAAACTCTTGAAAAATGTCACCAATCTGCAACTTGATTCTACTCCTCCTCACATCTATCAGTACACCTGCAGTGTTCAGGAATAGTCTACCAAGAATGAGCAGATCTCTCGGTTCATCATCAAGCTCAATGATGACAAAGTTGGTCGGGATATGGACAGTGGCGGATCTAGCAATATATTTTACCGGTGGCAAAAAATTATATATAGATTAATTTCTATCTTTTAAAATCAATTAAGAAATAAAAAAACGAATAATTCATGTTAAATAAGAGAAAATGATTGCATTTTAATAAGGAAATATGAATTGACCTGTGAAAAAAGGAAACAAGATAGTTCTAAATGGCAAATAACATTCAGTTTTGAGCAATCATTATCTTAATGGGAGCAGAAATTATTTTTTAAAAGGGGCAATCTATTTACTTCTTAAATATCTATAAGGAAATTAGAAAATTTAAGGATGGCAACTGCCCCCTACTTACTATATATAGATCCGCCCCTGGATATGGAAGTTCCCAACTCAGATGTACACATCCTTAAACAGGGAATCAAACAGAACGATCCGCAAGTATCAACGACATCTTCGTTAGAGTGAATTTGGTGATACCTAGTTTCTTCGAAACCGATAGAGTCATCAAGCTTACACCTGCTCCTAAATCGCATAGACATCTACCAAAAGAGAAATCTCCAATCGTACCAGGCAACACAAAACTACATGGATCTTCTCTTTTCACAGGTATAATATTCTGGAGAATAGTACTGCACTCATGACTGATCAATACAGCCCCTTCTTCAAGAGTCCTCCTTTTAGTCAAAATGTCCTTCAGATGCTTCTTGTAGACCAGGGCATTATGGACTAACTCAAGAAATGGGAGATGAACCTGAAGCTGTTTCATAATCTTGTCAAACTGAGCATACTCTTTCTCCCTCTGAATCTTCCTCAAGCGGCCTGGGAATGGCAGCTTAGGCACATAAGGTGGCGTTACAACTTTCTCAACCTGCTTCTTCTCAGGAACTGTTTTTTCAGCTTCAACTTCTTCAACCAATGGCTCATCATCAGACTTCTTCCCAACATCATCCTTTTCTGAGTCATCAGAAATGGTCTTAGCCTTTTCCTTCTTCAGAATTAGGTTGAGTTCTTTGCCACTCCTCAGTGAGATGGTATTCACTTACTCCTTACCATTGTTGTCGTCTTTTAGGTTCGTGATCGGCTTACCAGGAAGAACCCCCATTGGTCTTATAGATACAGATGCTGTCTATGCTACTTAATTCTCAAGTGTCTTAACATGTGAAGCTAGTGACTCAAACTTTCCATGAAGATCACTTTACATGCTATCGACCTTGATATTAATATCTGTAGCATTCTTTTATTGTCCCTCAAGAAGCTGCTGTATCATAAGCTTCATCTCATTGCCTCCTGAAGAAGATGCAGAATTATTACCTGAAGGTACTTGGTAACTTCCCTGGAAGTAGTTAAACTGTGATTTATGCTGAAAACCTCCCTGATTGTACCCATTGATGTGCATCTTTGGCTTAGGCACGAACACCTTATTGTTGAAATTTCCCTGATCCTACGGATCCTCTTCGTTGGTGCTCCTGAAAGAAAGGTTAGGGTGATTTTTGTAGTTCTGGTTGAATCCCCTGTTCTGGTAGTTTCCCTAACCATTGATGTAGTTCTGCTTAGCCTGAACATCCTCTGAACCATCCCCAATGAACTCCTGGTACACCTGAGCTTCACCGCTATCATCACAGAAATTAATAACCCGCTGATCTCTCTTTAGGAGCTGCTCAACCTTAGCTGTCAACCCAGCAATCTGTTACGATTCTCCTCCTCCACCTCTATACGACCTATCATAGTCAACATTATGGTTACTGTTTCTGGCCGCAAAATTCTCAATAAGCTCTGTAGCTTCTTCCTCAGTCTTGGTCATAATATCTCCATTACTAGTAGTATCTAGTGCCATCTTGTAGTCTTTATCGACTCCCCTGTAGAAAGTATTGATCAAAGTGGCACGTGAAAAATCGTGGTGGGAGCATTCCGTGTAGTAGTCTTTGAATCGCTCTCAAGATTCATGGAACGATTCTGTACCAGTCTACTGAAAAGAAGAGATCTTATTCCTTAGAATGGATGTCCTGGACTGAGTAAAATACTGTGACAGAAATAAAGCCTTGTAATCTTCTCAGCTTCTCAAATTCTCAGCGTTCAAAGACTTTAACCAGCGATGGGCTTTGTCAGCCAAGAAGAATGTGAAAAGTCTGCATTTGATGAGATTATCTGGCACTCCATTCATTCTTCTTGTGCCGCATATGTCCTCAAAGTTATCCAAATGGTAGCCTGGATTCTCTAAGGAGAGACCGTGGAACTGATTCTGCTTCACCAGAGATAGCAACCCGGTCTTATCTCAAAATCATTTCTGTTGATTGGTAGATGTTGGCTCGACATTAGGAGCATCATGATCCCTTAGATTCTGTTGAGCAGGCGTAGGCGTAGCATTCGTTGCAGCTAAACGAGCGGCATTAGCAGCAGCCACACATTCAGCAGCTACACGGGCAGCGGCAGCATTTCCACCAGCAGCAGAAACATTATTGTTTCCAGGATGTGGGGTATCTTGAAACACTCCCTGATGATCTCCAGCAAGTGGGAGTCCATCTTCATTCAGAAGGTTTCCTACATCATCTTGTTCAGCCATTTCAGCTTCTCTTTGCTCAGCTAACTTCTTCTTTCTCTTATTTGCTCTTTCAAACTTTCTGATATCCTCTTAGTAATCTGCTAGATGTGACGAGCCTTGGCTGCGGGTCATACACCTAAAAACACCAAAGAGAAAACGAAAGCGAAAATCAGTAAAAGAAAATAATAATGTCTTAGACTAAAAACTAATCCTAAATCCTTAGGTAACGCAATTGGTCCCCGGAAACGGCGCCAACTTGATTGCT